AAGTTTTTCCCGATTCACCGACTCCAAAATCTCAAAAAAGTGTTGTGAAATGAGCAAGCATTAGTAAACGACCTTTGGTGCCGTTTTCATCGAAGATTCTATTCATTGGCGAGATGTCGGTTTTTATGCACAAATATATCGAGTGAATCGTCAAGGTTGTGGGGGACGGTAATTGCAGCTCGGTTAAGGAGAAGATATTCATACACTTGTCTGACATAAACTTATCCAAGAGTTGAAGACACATAAAGAATCGTACACACGGTTGTACACAAATAAAGAACAATACAATGTGGTTTATGAGTCTTTTGTTCCTGGATTGAGTGGACCGACACCAGAGGAAAAACTGTTGAGCATCCCTAATATGGGTCACCTAATAGCATGTGAATATGATAGAGTGTGTATTGATCCGACACACTACGGTTTTTCGGAAACCTTTTCCCACTACGCGCCGCCCCACTCCAAAATCCAAATGATTGTATCATGTGTATTGTATGGCTTTCAAAATCAAGTTGTTTTGTTCAAGTTACTTAAAACCGGGATGCCCCATACGGCTTACATCGTCGGAGTGGATGACTCATTCAAACACAAAAACCGAGACGTGGCCTAATCATTTTATGGAAAGGATGCAAGAATTCTAGAGATTGAACAACATTTAAAAAGAAACGAATGCACAAAAGTCCAAAGGGGGGGTACTACCTATAGATTTAGCCGATGACATACGTTTCATTTCGTTTTGATTTCTTGTTTAACCGGACAAATAATTGTATGTAATTGTGTCTTAATATAAATGAAGTGTTATATATTCACCATATGTTCATATTTTTTCTTTATTCATTTTTTATCTTCCCGTAACAACATATGTGTTTTTGTCAATGAAAAAAATGGTTCTATTATAGGGTTCTATTTTGAAACTGGTTCAGGAGAAGTTCTGAAGATGTATCTCTGAAATAAGATAATAGGGTGCGATTCTAGAAATATATCTCCAAAATTAATATGTCAGTTAATGAGTGATTCAAATTGATCTTTCTCTTCTATAAATTTAGGTGCTCTAATGTTATATTTCATACAAACTCAAAATGTCTCAAAGTTCACAAACTCTGAAGCATGGGTATTCTTAAATGGTGAAGTATCGGTACCGGGTACGTACCCATACCCGGTACTCGTACCGTACTCGTGGTACTTCATTTTTTCTTATTATTCGATTTTGAATGAAATTTGTAGTTTTTTCAAATATTAATATAATATATTTATGTGTTTTAAAAAAAGTATTGTATGTTATCATTATTTTTTATTTTTTTCAATTTTTTATAGTTATAATTTGTTATGAACCTGACAATTTAGTTCTCTAGTCATACATTTTATAGAAAATGCTTATTTCTTATTAACATATTTGTACATTGATTTTTTTAAAATGTCGTATCTTGTACCGGTACCAGTACCCGTACATATGCATTATAGGTCACAAATAAAAATCTATTTATATGTCGTAAATGTCTCCTTCTTCGGCTCTACACCCGGGCGAACGTTCAATCTCACTGACCTCACCTCCCTCGAAGATATCAAAGAAGAAATTCACCATCTCCTATCATATAGTGACAATCGAAAGATTGTGAAGCTCGAGTACCCTTTACCTTTGATTGACAGGGGAGGAAAGATTCAGTTCACTAAATTTGATCTCAAAATGCAAGCGGATATTAGGGCTATGTGGGATACATTTTTTGGTTTCGAATTAATACCAAGCGTCCACTTGTTGAAGCCCAAGATTTACCAACACGATTCACCGTCTCACACTACTCCCTTGCAAGGCACCCCTTGTCCCAAGGCTTTCACTCGATCGGATCCGAATTGCATACTCTTATCCAAAATCTTCAAATCCTTAATGATTCTGGAGGAAAACCCCAGCTTGGTTTTCTTATTTGAAACACTCAAAAAACTTAATCCAATGTTCTCTGTACAACAACCTAATTAGATGTTATCAACCATAACCTAGATGGTCACCTAATCAAAAAATGATTATGTGTAGTTTGATTGTGTGTATGCATAGAAGAGAGGTTGAAGATGATAAGTATGCTTTGAAATTATGGTTTCATGTAGGCTTTACTTTAGAACCTTACTAGAAATGATGCATGAATAAAGTATTTATAAGTAAGCAAGTTTGGAAGCAAAAAGAATGTAAAAGGATGGCGAAAATTTTGACTTAAAAAAATGCATCGCATGTGTCGACTTATGAAAGCTATAGGTCAGCCTATCATAAGAAATGCGCCGACCTATGTGGGTCTTAGGCGACCAATAAAGGTCTTGTGTCGACCGTGTGTTAATCTATGTTAGTTAGCACATAGACAGTGTCTATAGGCTTTATTATTGAGGCATGGGTGTTGACCTAAACATGTTATGAGTCGACCTATGCTGAAGAGAAAGCTTCTATAGGTCGATCTAAACACGCATGTGTCAACCTATGATGTAGTATTTTTACAAAAACCTTATTTTCAATGCATTTATGTTGTATGAACCTTTTCTAAAACATTTTAATGCTTCCTAATGCTAAGATACACATCTAGAATCAAAGGATATCGTCCAGTATACATTGATGTTAGGTTATCCTAGTTTTGATATCATTCAAAATACATCTAACCGAAAAGTTACACCCACATGCTCCTTCTCTAATATCTTATAATGAGTTGGCCTAGGTGGATCTCTGTGCTTCATATGGTACCAAAGGATTATAGAAATCATCATACATCACATCTACATCTCTGTGGACCATAGTGGGAGGAGCAAACACGGATGGGTCTTTTAGAACAACTTGTGGATACCTCTACTTGCACATGGCTCGCTCAGGTTGATGTGGATACATCATACATGAGCCATAACTCAACCATTCAGAGTAGAAGGCTATGTCATCCAAGGGGCATGTCTGATAGTGATCGTCATACGATGTGTAATTTATATCATCTGTTGTAGTGCGGTAAAGAAACACACTAAAATGGTCAGTTTATTGATTCTCTTTCAGTAGGACGAATACACAAGCACGTAGATAATCCTCGATGTAGTTATCAACATATGACAAGTCGGAGATACATGGAAAGTGTTGAAGGACCCATGCCTGGAATAGTATAGATGGAAAATTAGTAATAACATATCACAAGTGTTGTGAAAATGGTATAATAATAGTAAAAATGCAAATATATTACTGTAAATAGCGTGCAACTTCCTGTCATATGTCTGGCCTTCTAAAGACAACCTTTAGTTAACTTTCAATATAGCTAAACCAAAAAAGCCCCCTCACTTGTACTCATGGATTCAGTCAAAGTTAATGAAGTATATAAGGTAAACAACATCGATGTAATAAACACTTTGTCCACATATATGGACGTCCCAACCAAATACATGGGATATGACCTCAATGCACATGCTATATGATGCATAATCACTACCGGCATCTACTGTTGTAGCTAAGTGGTGTATATACAACTTCTCCAGGAATGTAAATTTAGCATGACATCCTATAGTGTCTTCCAGATCCTTTAGGGCATCTTCTGGTTCAGCTCCCAAATAAGTCACCATATATCTAGTGCATATTGTCTTGTCATTCTGGAGTGGTATAATAATCTTCTCCTGATAGGAATATGTAGCAGGGATGACACATCATTCAGTGTGATGAACATCTCACCATGCAGAAATGAAAATGTGACGTCTCTGAGTGACATCTCTCAATGAAAGCTGACATCATACCATGATTAATAATAGTCTAATCAATCATGCATAAATCTCACAACTCAAATAGATGTATGACATAATGAAAGCATTGCTCCTCAGGTTGTTGCTGTCTCACATTCTTCCTACAATGGTTGATGCATTTTAGAGCATCACAATACTGCAAAAAATGCATTATTGTCAAAAAGTTTGAATATTATAAGACATGTATTTCAAAGAATTAATACATATAAATTTTACCTCTTCGTCCCACATGTGTCTAGCAGCATAGTTTGTATACAGAGGCAGCAGTGAAGTGTTAAAGGGGTCTCCTCCAAATTTCTTAGGAATGACAGCATTGACAGCAATTGCAACAACCTGATTAGTGGGACTTCTGAGCAGTAGCAGGTGACACCTGCCTCCGGGAAGAAGCAGCCAGAGACACTTGAACCCTAGAAGTCTACATTTCCGCAACAAATGATCTGCTATCAACCACTTAACTTGAATGGAGTGGAAGAAGCACTTGAAATGATAAAAGGACTTGGAGGTATTACAGAAACATGAACACTTTGTATATTTTGTTGGAAATGAGGAAGGGGGATGTCTAATATGTATTAGACTAAAAATCCGTCCAAAGATAGATTTTCGTATTTGTTATAGAGATACTTCTATATTAATTTTTGATAAAATAAGAGTGAGACACATCCGTGAATGAATAATGTAGGATAGAGTGCGTACAAAAATAAATTTTAAAATTTTAAAAATATTTTTAATTTTTCAAAAAGCTGCGGGAGCACCACAAAGAGGACAATATTTGATACTATAATCACTCATAATCTATTATTCAAATATTTATAATATTAATAGATAATATTTGATTTATTAATAATTGATATTACTAAGTTGATAAATCCGACCGACTGATTATATATCACGGATTCATATAGTTGTAAGAGGACAACTTCCAATTGTCTTCTAATATCAAAAGGAATTACCAGTGAAAAGAACTTGTTCCTAAGCAAAGTTAAAGAATAAACTACTTTGAACGCCTCGTCAATACATCTTATATACTTTTCCAATACCAATTTCCAGTTATACTTTTTGCTATGGAATCATTCCTTCAATTCTTGCCTTTAACATCGTTACTTTATACCAAAAACTAATCATTTACGTGTTGAAGGAAAATGACCAATTAAGAGAAGAGGTATAAAATATAGAAGAATTATTATGAACATGGAAACAATTTATACAATCAATGAATCAAATTAACATATCTTTGTAAAGTACAAGAACATTAAATCCACATATTATGTTTCATTTTGGCGACGTGCAGCTGGAAAAGGATTAGAAAACCTGGTTGAAAAACTTGGAGGCAAATATTCTTCATCTTCACTTTGTGCTCCACTATTGAAATTAAGAGCATAACTATGTTCATCATATTGAAACTTATTCTTTTGTTGCTTTTTTCCATATCCACTTATTTTTCTAATAAATGTTTTCCACTTAGGACCAGCAATCACTTCTGATGTTTCCTTCATCTTCTTCAACTTCTCCATCATCCATGTATCTTCTCCTCTAATTCCTTCACTCTTTTCATCTAGTAGGTGTTTGCCTTCTTCGTCGTTGCGTCGCCACCACTCCGAGGTGAAAACTCGGAAGAATCCGCACCCGCATCCATATCCGCTTACATCTTCAAAATCTTGTTTGGTTTCCATTTCCATCACCAATGGTCTTCCCTCATAGACAGACATGTTTTTGTTTTTGTTTTAAGGTTTGAGGTTTGTGCCGGCTTTGATCATTGAGAAAACATTATAAGAAGATATAGAAGGAAAGGAAGAAAAGTCAAAGAAACCGTATGAGCCATGTTTGAATTTTCAACATGTTTATAGAAGGTTCCAAGCAATATCCTCGTGCTAGTTTTCTTATATTATACGTTTTACACGCTGGTTTTACTCAACAACAACATAATATTATTAGCATATAATAAAGTGAAAAGTTATAGATGAGGAGTGGAGTAAAATTAATTAATATTTTAATTTTATTTTATATTAGAATTAAATTTCATGCTGGCCCACCCTGAAGGGACAAAGCATGATCCAAACCGTGTCATGCTTAGATATCCATTTACACAAGTTACTATCAAAATATGAACATGTTCTGTTTCTTTCTACTTTTTGCCCAACAAGAAATGAAACATATCATGATTTTCCTGGAAGATTGCATGTAATGATCATCTGAAATCTTGCAATATACAAACTTAACCTTCCCTTCCCAATGATATGCATTAGTGAGTCAAATGGATGAAACACAGTAGACAGAAATCTGATGTTAAAGTATCCTGCTGTACAGTTGTGGAAAAATGCATTGAATCAAGAACTTCCTTGGGTGAAAAAGCTGCATCTCCCGAGTGATTTATCGTCGTGTTTTGCTGCTATTGGGGTCTAAGATAAACATAATAGAAATCATTTGTTGACTTGGGTAGACAAAGGAGAGGGTTGTAGCTGTTGATTCTGGCGTTTGCTTGCCATAGAACGTAATTCATCAGCAATGTCAGTGAAGGTGGGTCTCTCTGATGGCTCTGAGGACCAACATCTCTCCATTAACACACTCCATTCCACGTCACAAGTATCGGGAATTGGAGGGCGCAAAGTGTTGCTTACAATACCACCTGAATTATATTCGGAAAACACAGATGGAACTGTCAATAACTCAAAGACCAATAGTTAAATTGCAACTGCAAATTCAACCATGGATTACCTATAATAGCACCATAGTGCAAATCAGAGTATGGCTCTTCTCCAGTTAAGAGTTCCCACATCGCAATACCGAATGAGAAGACATCAATCTAAAACAAGGACATATCAAAACACAAACATAACAAGTTTAAAGAGTGTTCAAATATAAGAAAACATATCAGAACAAAGGTCATCAACCTTTCAGGTTAAGTAAGAGCATAGACCTTCTCTGAAACAAGGCTACTGCTTCCATTCAGCAGTTCTGGAGCCATCCATGGTAGAGTTCCTCTAACACCTCCAGAGATCAGAGTCTGACATTTTACTTTGGATAGACCCAAGTCACCAACCTGATATCAAAAGCAAGCAAGGATGTAATTTTTAAACACTGTTATGGAATCTATAATTGCTGCATGCTCGAACTTTAGATTTATCGAACAGAAAGCGAGTATGAAAAACAATAAAACCAGTTAAAGGAAAATTTTGGGGAAAAAATTAATGGACAACTTTTGTTTAAATGGCTTTGATATAAACATTAACCACTGTGGATGATTTTTTAACTCTAGAAACTGAATGGTTTAGCAGGGGCTTCTACTTCCTATGCCATACAAATGATATGAATTGGACCACAAACATTTCTTATTTATGACAAGAAAGAAAAGTTTGCAAGTTTATAACAACCAAACCAATGAAACATAAGTAGGATTTGATGACAAACAAAAGAGCAACATTATACTCCATATTTGTGAAGTGATGAAAGAATTGCATACCAGATCTTAACTTTTCTGTCATCTATACATTATACAAAGTTAGTGCAAGCTAAACATTAAATCCAACTTAAGATTATGAATTTATGGGAACTTCCTAGCTAGCATCGGACAGAAAACCTTATGGTATGTACAATCCAGAGTCCTGCAAATTCACTGGTGTTTTTTCTGTTTAACGGGTGTGTATGAGCATCTTCATCAGTCTATGACTCGTCCTTCAAATGAACACCCAATGTTTTCTGTTGTGTTCTTGTTCCGTCTAGCCACTATAGTGAAAATTTGGTCACCCACCAAAACTTTTTCTATATAAGCAACAATTCTACATTTATAATCAATATATGACTATAGTAAATAAGCTCGTACTGACATCATCACATTCACATGATGCCTAACCAAAACCTTTAGCGTGGCCAACTAGTGCCAGTAAAACCAATGCATGTTTAACTTGACAGATTTCTCTAAAGTCATTCTTACGGTAAATGGTCAATCTAAAATATCACACACCAAATTTTAGTACTTTTGATGGATCACATTCCCCTTGATCAAGAAAATAAGCTACATGATTAACCTAGCTCATTAGGTGCCTTAAAGGGAATCCCCCTCAGCACATTCCGAAGACATCAATCATCTGCTCAATTACAGGAGCACAGAAGTAACATAATTGCTTGAATTGAATTAATAAGAATCTAAGCATATATGGATCACAATGTACTATGTGGGCACCAATATCAAACATTTAAACCTTGCATATTGGGCGGTGTGGATCTCGGAGATTCACTAGCAAGTTGTCACTTTTCAAGTCAAAGTGTACTATGTTTCTTCCATGCAGATATTCCATTCCAAAGGCCACGTCCATTGCAATCAAAAGACGTCTGCGCTTGTCTAGATTCCTGATATGATCATATTAGCATCACAATTAAATAAGGATAATGAAAAGGAACTAACAGACAGACATGCACATGCACATTCTAATAAATTTATGCTCAAACTACCTCTCGTTCTTTTGCAATGCAGTTCTGAGAGAACCATTAGCCATATACTCAGTTACTGTTGCCACCGAATCTCCTGGTCCATCAAGCACCACACCATAGAAAGCAACTACATTTGGATGGTGCAAGTCAGCAAGCTTGATTGCCTCATTCCAGAAGTCATCTCTCTATTTGATGCATAAATAGAGAATCATCGTAAGTTAATTTCTCAGTCATTGATGAGAGAAGGAAAAAATGCAAATCATAATCATTATTAGTAAAACACAGACCATGCGCTCTTGCTCTGAAGGCTTTCCAGCAAAACATCTATCAGTTATTCTCTTGATTGCAACATCGGTTCCCCTCCATTTTCCATGATAAACAGTCCCAAAGGTACCAGAACCCAACTCTGTCAGCTCTTCAAGGTCACAGTTCTTTATAATCTTGTAAAGTTCCAACAACAAGATGTTAGCTCAGGTGTGTTGATTACAAAAAATCATAGAAGAGATTACATGAAATCCATTCAACCTGCAAACGTCCAACACCTGATGTTGGAAAGCCAAAATTTCCCTTTTCTGGAGAGTTGCTCTTGACATCCTAAATGGGGAAAATAACAATTTACACTAATACTAGCAAAATTGCATTGAAGGGGAGAGTGGCATAAAAAGATATTTTATGTTGGAGACCATCTGGAATTATAACACAAGGAAGCTAATGCAAATGTTTATCAATTTATAAACAAAATCACCTGAGTTATATCTCTACACATTGCATCTATTGCATTATTTTGAACATCACCGTCCTCAATATTTTTGTGACAGGAAACATCTCCGGCTTGCAAGTTAGGATTTGAAGGAGCACATGGGTGCAGAACAGAAGCTGCTACATCTTCGGCAACAACTTTAAGTTGTTGGTCTTCGGTTGAAACTTCAATAAGCCACGCAAAACAAAATGAGTATGTGCTACGAGCAACACAACCATCTATAACTATTTACAGATTTTAGACTTTAACAATTTGCAAACCTTTGTCACAGCAACCATTTTCAAAAGTTAAATTTTGTTTGAATGACTCGTAGAGGTCACCATCCAATTGTGCATCCAAATTCGATTTCTTGTATCCTGGATTTCCACAAAAATAATCTTTATGAGAACAAATTTCTTTCTTCAGTGTAGCTTGGCTCAGTATAGAAGTTTGAAAGAAGGTACCGTGTGGTATACTCCAAGGATCGTGATTGCCAAAAACTGAGTTTGGAGAATCCTGCATATCACAAAACATGAAAGATGGTGATGATGTAGATGATGTTGAATCATTCTTGTGATGGTTTACAATATTTGATTGAGTAGCGCTCAACACAAGTGGTTGTGCAACATCATTGTCGTCCCCTGTCCTGGAATTTTGCCTGTATAAAATCTCCTTGGAAGAAGATGGCTGCACACCTATCATCTTAATTTTATCCGCATCAACTATCAATTTCGGTGTGACAAAGTTGTTGTCCAGAATCACCTCTTCCTCTGTAGCAATCTGACTTTTGTAATCTAAAGATTTATCAACTGGAAGCAAGCATTGATCATTACTAACATCAGCATTGTGTATCTTGAGAATGTCATTCCTTCCATCAACAGGTCTTACATAGCCCTGCCTAATCCAATTATTTACTGTATCTGATTTAGAAACGACACCAGTAAGCTCATTTGTGTATTCTTTGGAAGTTCCTTGGGCAACACACTCCGGAGTATGTAAAGTCATTCCATCAACTATAGGTATATTATTATTAACATGCCTATTCACGTGTTCGTCTTGTTTAACCCAGGTTTCAACCGGTGCCATATGCTGGCGGACAACATCATCTGGATAAGAAGGTGGTGTGGTTCCCATGGTTCCAAGCCCATCCCTAGAAGAATGTTTTCCATCTGTCCTACCAATTGTTTCCTGGATAAATGAGTTCATGGAATGGTCAAATTCTTCTGGTATTTGAATAAAAGTCCTCCCACCTTCATGCTGAGGCTCAAAATTATAAGAAATCCCAGTATTATCAGTACAATTTCTTACTCCATTATGAACTTCCAATTTGCTAATGACACTTGGTCTTGTGCTAAACCCTTGTTCAACAACACCTTCCTTCAAGGGTGATGCCACCATAGGCTCAACCCTCTTTGTTGCTTGAGCTTTTACATTGTCCTCCATTGGAAAACTCTTATAACTTGGGCTTGAATCAGGAACTGGGCCTGAACCGCCATCGTGCTGATCCGGAACCACTGGATCTGAATGAGCATGAGGCAACTTTTTCTGACACATAGAACATTCCTCAACTCTTTGGATTTTCTCTGGCATTATTACTTGTTGAGGTAATGACCCATCAGAGAAAACAACATGCTCTTGTGGAGGCACCTGAACCCATCCGCGATTACCCCCAACTATGACAGATGGAACTTGATTAACCGGAACCTGATATGTATTGTAGCTGTGTTCTGCAGGAAGCTGGACAATTCTTATTCCTGATGTATTTTCATCATTGTATTGGTTCAAATGATTATGTTGCGGTTGTATCAATGGTTGTGGTTGGATGACATTCGGTCTTATACCAACGCGAGAAGAAGGCTGAGTCATTGTCATTTGTGCTCCGGGAATGACCTGACGGAAAGCTAAACCAGGCATATTATTATTATGAAATTGTTGTTGGGCAAAAACAGGACCAGTCTTTCCTAATAGTTGAGGATTTGGGAACCCCGTCTGAGGAGGCAAGTGGACATACTCTGCATGGTTCCAATAAGGCGAAGGTGGTGGAATTTCCATTCCAGATTGGTGCAGTTCAAATGGTTGTTGAGGGTAAGTAACCGACGCTGACTTTTCTGACTCAACCTCATTCTGTGTATATGAAGTGTTTGTTGGACCAGTCTTAAATGAAACACCAGAAGAAGCACCCGAGTAAACTGGTGTGCTGGACTCAGAAGCCGCCAAATTCACACTAGTATCTGGAGAAGCAGCCACATACTCTCTAGGCGATAACACGCAGGACGCCGAATCTCCTTGACCGGCAACTGAGCTATCAATAGTCTCTATCCCACTCAAATCAGAATTTTGTGTTGAAGCTGCACTTGTAACACTCTCCTTCCTCTGGAACCCACAACAAACCCCATACCCATCTATAAAACCATTCACAGCATCAAAATATTTCTGTCCCGTATCCTGCAAATCCCCCGACTGTGCTGCACCAGAAAGATCAACCTCCAAGAGAGGGAACAAAAATACCCTCAATTTAGCAGAACCATCAGAAGATCTCTCAACCAACTTTCCATACTCCTCCATCATATTCTCAACATCATCAGGACAAGCAACTGAAACTAACGCATCAAGATCCTCCTCAGGTAACTGATACTTAATAACCACAGGTTGTCCATAAGTATCCACCATCTTCAGCACCAAATCATTATAACTCACATCTTTCTTAACACTAATTATCCTTGTCTGTCCTCCAACATATCTCAACACTCCGTCACTAGGCCTAGGCAATATCTTCCCACCAAAACTACACAGAAACTTAACTTTCCTCCCGGAATTCAAATCATCCCCGGTATCATCAACCACTCTAGTTCCACCGTGAGCACCATAAGAAAAACCACTTACATTCACAGGTACACCATCATTACAAACATTATGCCAACCAGTATTATTATTATTATTGTTACTATTATTAGCTCCTACCCAATTTCCCAAATTCAAAGCATTCCCAGCAACAACGCGGCTCCCATAGTTTAACCCAATAGAAGGAGGACTCACAATGGGGCGAAGACACCAAGTTGCTGACGCGGCACCAGCGGATGAGGCGGACGTCGGGTAGAAATAATCGGAAATCGAATCAGGGGTGGGAGGCGTGCTGCCGCTTGCCGAAGAAATGAGAGGCTCCTTCACCATTATCGGAGCCACATTCAATACTCGCAGATCTGTGGGAGCGGAATTTTGATCAAATGCCATAACCGCAAAAAACTATCGATTGAGATCACACAAAAAAACTAAGCAACGATGATGAGCCCTAATCGTGGAAAGTTTAATTAAAATAGTAGTGAAATTAGGATGAAATTAAATGAAAAATCGAAATGAAGATCGCAGTAAGAGTAAAGGAAAAATGAATGAATGAAGAGAGAAGAAGAATGGCGGAGTCTCAGATTTGGAAAAATAAACATGTAAACGATCGTTTGTGAATCTCATGCCAAAAATAGGTTCCATTTACAGTGCCGATTTTTCTCTGTCAATAGCCAATGGAATGAAATTTTATTTTATTTTTGAAAATTAGTTATCGTTATTTTTTAATAGTGCGTACATGTCGAATTGTAAGTGATGCTATGCTAGTATAGTTGAAGGAAGATGGAAAAGAAAGGGCCTTTGGTTTAATATTTTCCCGGGAAAGTGATGAGAAGAAAACGGCACCGCGCGGGAATAGAAAGAGGAAAGAGACACCGTTTACACGTACGTGTATTTATTTTTTATCAAAAGATTTTACTGTTATGTGACTAAATATCAAAAAGTCAAAGTTTCATCCAATTTTAATTCAATCCATGCGAAACGTCTTCACTCATGATATTGAAGGTGGTTTTCATTTTTTATTATACTCATCTTAAAGTTTAAATTGATTTGAGTATTAGAGTGATAATCTTGTAAGTCTATTATACGCTACAATATCAGAAATTAATACCAACGATTTATGATTCTTCACCATCGATATACATTAATTATGGTTCTAGAACAAAACAGTGGTGTCGTTAGTGGGAATTGACTCCTCATTTCCGTAAAATTTCACGAGTAGATCATTTTCGATCCAAAGTCAGATCTCTACCAAAATCGAGAGAGAAAGACAATCAACCAACACATCGCTAGAATAAGACCGGTTGGATACTCTTATCCTATTTCGTCGCATTTGATCATCACCGATGATATCCTCGATGCTGCAAAATTTAGTGGTAATTTGTCATCTGAATTATTCTCCCAAACGACCAGTGATATTGAACCGCAAAACAAGGATTGAGTCACACTAGTTTGTTCGAGAAACAATAAGACTTGGAGAATCTCGAGTGCGGAGTTACATTATTTTCTGCAGTCTCTGCCGTTGGCGGAACGCCTACGAAATACCTCGTAGACGGTGGATTTCCTGTAACAACTTCTGACCTAGCGTAGTCGAGTAGCCAAATCTCTGAAAATCAGATATGAATACTGTAGAAATTTATATGCTTGTAGCGGATTTTCAAGAATCTTATTCTTTACATCTAACCCTAGGATCATCATGCATATTTCAATATGAATAATACAAAGTATAAGATTATACACCTTTGATGCGTGAATCCACGGAAGTGCTAGCTTCCAATGGAGATCTTCGATAGCATCATGTTCCTCTTGTGTTGGTCCATGAGCAGCAAGGCGTGAATCCACGAAAGTGCTAGCTTCCAATGGAGATTTTCGATAACATCATGTTCCTCTTGTGTTGGTCCATGAGCAGCAACTGGGTCACCACATATGTTAGTACAGAAGAAGGGAACAAGTTTTTCTCCTTACTTTTGTGGCTAGGGAGAACCGAAAGATGGGAGCAAGAGAATGCAAGAATATTTTATTTCTTCCCATGTAACATCTATCTTATATAGAGCTAAATGGAGGATAATTGATTAATTTCATAATGTCATATAGTATGTGACTTAATCATCCTTTTTAATGTCATTTCTCTTCCAATCTATAACCTCCCAATATAATCCTTATGTTACTGTATAACCTCATATGACCCAATAATATTAGTAGTTGGTCCAATCTCATTGTCCAATAAAATATAGTTGACTTCTAGCAACGCATTATGATCACATAATATTATTAGATATTTTATCTCCATAAATTATTCAATTATATTTAGATTGTTACACTTGATCGAAAGACAAAATCCTTCAATCTCCCACTTTTCTAAGAAAAAGTGTGTAATCTTCAAGTTCCTTAAGTCACTCAATGTCCAACTTGATGATATGATGGCATCCAATATCACCCATATTAGCATTCAACTCATTTCTTGAAATTCGAGTTTGAACTGTCGAAACAAATGACTAACTACTTAATCCATTTAAGCACGACCTTGCATTTTCCAGTTCTCGCTCTTCAAGAGACCCTAGACACCAATCCTAACCTTTTAGAAGAACTTATCCGATCTTGTATAACCAAGAATCCCACTTAATTATTGGAAACTCCGATCACTGCCTTTATAGCCCCTTTTACAGCATGATGTTTTACTGTGTCAAAAAAATATCAATCCTCAAATAAGAATAATGTCATACTCATGTCTAAGAAATCCACTAAATATAATAACGAATTCTCAAAACATTTTTGGTGAATTCTTAGTGGGTATGTCCGGCGTGTATCAATTATACAAGTATAAGTAATTGACTAGACATCTCCATGGCCCATAGCCCATGAAATTGCACTATCAATCAACTTACAATATAGTTCATGAAATTGAATCATTTATGTCCAACTTAATTATTCAGACAAGGGACTAAAGTACGTTATAACTCATGTTCACTAGATAGGGTTTCATTTTCCAAATCATGAATTTGGCAATCCTATCAAACATTATAGATACTTTGGACATATTATTTAATACTAAACTAGGATTAAATAAGATCATAATTTTATTGATAAACATATACAAAACATAATCAAGTGTTTTTGCAATTGTGAACTAATTAAAAGTAAATAGTACACAATCAAATCCACTCACCAATATGCTTAAGCCCTATAGCCCTAGTATGACTCTCATGCTTGAGCTTAGGCAAAGGTTTAGTTAATGGATCACCAACATTGCTATCTGTATGAACTTTACTAACTATTACATCATTTCTCCTAATGATTTCTCAACTGAGATGAAACTTTCTAAGTACGTGTTTGCACCTTTAGTGTAATCTTAGTTCCTTAGACTGAGCTATGACACCATTATTATCATAGTGCAAAACAATTTCATCTGTAACTTTAGGTACTGCACCTAGCTCTGAAATAAACTTCTTCGTCCAAATAGCCTTCTTTGTTGCATCTGCTATAACAATGTACTCAGCCTCTGTTGTAGAATCTGCGATAATGATTTTCTTTGAACTCTTTTAGCTCACTACTTCTCTATTTAGACAAAAGATGAAACTAGATTGAAATCAGAAGTCTTTTTTGTCAGTTTGGAAGCTAACGTATGTGTAACCTTCAACAACCAATTCACTTTTACCTCCATATACTTAGAAACTATCTTTAGTCATTCTCAAGTACTTCAAGATATTTTCAGATGCACTCTAGTGTGCATCACTTGGATTCGATTGGAATTCACTGCAAACACTCAAAGTATATGAAACATATGGACAGGTATAGATCATGACACGCATAATGGATCCTATGATAGATGCATAAGAAACATTATTCATTCGCTTAATCTCAACAACGTTGGAAGGACATTGAGTCTTACTAAGTGATGTGTCATGTTTCATGGGAAGGAATCCTTTCTTGGAGCTTTCCATCGTGAACTTAGTAACAATTTTATCAATATAAGTTTGTTGGATATGACCAATCATCCTCTTAGATACATCTCTAAAGATCTTGATACCCAAAATGTACTCAACATCCCCAAGGTCTTTCATAAAGAAACATTTCATTAAACATCCATTGACTGACTCAAGCATGGGAATTTTGTTTCGTATGAGAAGTATGACATCCAGATACAAGACTAAGAACACTACATTTCTCCCACTTTCCTTCTTGAAAACACAAGACTCTTATCCATTTTTAGAAAACCAAACTATTTGATTTCCTCATCAAAACGAATATTACAAGTCCAGGATGCTTGCTTCAGTCCATAAATGGACTTTTAAAGCTTACATACCCTTCTAGGATTTTCTAGATCCACAAAAACCCTCAATGTAACACCCTAAACCCCGAAACTTATATATTAAGCTTTACACGACAATCTAAGGTGTCACCATTAACGTTTAAGAATCATGCAGCGGAATCATCAACGTCATACAACACTTGTCATTGCATGATCACCTTCACTTAGGGTATCATTGCGGCGGTATTGATATTATTTTAAATAACAAGACATTTTAACTTAGACTTTTAGTCTCCAACTTCAAATCATAATAAATTGTTTTCAAAATAAGGAGTGTCATATTCATCTCTCAACAACTTCAACGTAACTGAATAAAACAATTAAACTCCAACAAGGCATAATAAGAAAACAAACATTCTCAACCCCGATGTTATAGGATCAGAGCAAAACTTCTAAACAACGATGAAACTAAATGAAGTAACTCCAGGAGCTAACTTCCACATACAACAACAAACTCTACTCCCGAGTATCAACAAGATGTCCATGCTGAACAACATGAAAACAAAGGAAGTGAGAAACAACAAACTAATATGAGTAGTGTAAGAAATGCTAAGGTAGAAAGCATACAACAAACGCACATTCAATTACACAATCAATAACCACATAGTCTCACACCCTTTACAGTAACATGTACATATTTGCATCCAATTAACAACATCATGAACAATCAACTACACATTGTCATACCCCAAATTTGTCCAAACTTTTTTTTAATTTTCTTGCGTTCGACTTTATTTTTAACTTGTATCGTCTGTACAGCATGACATGTTTTTCATCATGAATAAATCCTAAAATGATTAGCCAGAATGAATTCTTGGATATACAGACAAACTGGTTGAATTGTTCCTCTAATATGCATAAAATAAGTGGTTGTAAAGTTTCAAATTTAAGCTTTCAAACGTCAGTAATATTGATCTACTATTTGCAAAGTTTAACATGATGTGTTTGTCTTATTTTTCGACGACTTTTTAGTCACATTTTGATCATTCTGAGCCTTTTTACCGGGCCTGATTTATTTTCAAACATTGTATTTTTTCAAGTCGTTTATTCCGCACTAATCATTTTAGTGTGGTCAATTTATTTT